ACCAGAAGACAGCGTAATTGTTATGTCACTGGACTCCCATGTAGTTGACTACGGTTCGAGTCCCAGACCCAGTGGTTTAAACCTCATACTGGGAGCATTTGCATGCTTGCCCAAAATCTGGAGAGGAGACTGGAGGAGACTGGAGGAGACGGATGGCAGCATGGCCTTCCCCCCAGGGAGTGATTTCTTGCTTTCTGTCTGTCTCTCTGGTGAGTGCACAGGCCCAATAGCAAAAATCTCTCTCAAAAAATTTTCCCCTTTTATTCATAAAGAGAGAGAAAAAGAGGAGCACCCTCCGTAGGGTCTGATCACACTCTAATTCCCTTCCTTTAGTCTTTCAGCCCAATCAGACCATGGGCCATGCATACATGCCTGACAAGGCTGGGAATTTGATCTAGCAGTCACCAAGTAAGACCTACCTTCACGTGAGCAGTGCCTTACCACTGTGCCACAGAGCTGGCTTACCATCTTCCTTTAATAACAACCTACTTTCTTAAGAACAAACCCCTTCTCAAGAGAGCTAGAAAGTACTGGGTCTTTTGAGACATAATCCATTCATGAGAGTGGTACTTGCATTGTCCAATCTCCACCCATGAGGCCATAAGTCTTAAGTATTTTTTTATTTCCCAGAACCATTATACTGGGAAACAAATTCCAAAACATGAAACTTTAGGAAACAAATGATTATCTAAACCATAAAAAAGACTTCAAAAATTTCATGGAAGGTGCCAGCAGGTGGTGTAGTGGTTAAGGCACTGGACTCCCACATGGCTAACTGCGGTTAAAGTCCCTGACCTGGCAACTTGAAACTCACGCAGGATGTAAGTGCCTGCATGCCCCAAATCCTGAAATGAGAATGAAGGAGAAGCAACTGTGGCATGGCCATTCCCTCTGGAGAATGATTTCTCACTTTTTTGCTCTCTGTCTCTGTCTTTCCGGTGAGCACATGTGTCCTATAGCAAAAATTTCTCTTAAAAAATTTAAATTAAGTTTAAAAGTTCATGGAAGAATAAAATTAAAGATAAAAATAACCTGAGTGTAGTGGTGTATGCCTATAATCCCAGCTTCTTGGGAGACTGAGGCAGGAATATTGTGAGTTTGAGGACAACCTCAGCAACATAGCAAGACTCTTGTGTCTGTGAAAAGGAGAAAAATATAGGGCCAGTCTACGGTGTAGAGATTATGTTGCTGGACTCCCACATGACTGACCACTGTTCGAGTCCTGGACTGGTGACATGAAAATCACCCCAGGTGTGAATGCGTGCATGCCCAAGGTCCCAGGAGGAAAATGGAGGAAAAAGGATTGCTGCATGGCCATCTCCCCTTGGGGGTGCTTTCTCACTTTCCCTCTCACCGTCTCTGTCTCTCTCTTTCTCCAGCACACACATGTGCCTTAATGCAAAAAACTCTTAAAAAGAAGAAAAAGGAGAAATATATGTTTATTTCTCAGTGTAAGCTCCATCAAGTTACAGATACTTTAGCAAGCAATGTTATGTAACAGCCGTTTAGTCTATCCCTGAAGAGCTGAGGGTCTTGGGAATTTAAGATTAAGAAACAAGGGGTTGGTAGGTGGTGTGGTGGTTAAGGCACTGGCTCCCATATGGCTGACTATGGTTCAAGTCCTGGACCTGGCAGCTTGCTTTTTCACTATCCCTCTCTCTGTGTTCAAATTAATAATAATACTTAATACAATTAAAATGGTTCTAAGACATTTTTTTAAAGATTAGGAAACAAAAGGGAGTCAAAGGAACCAAATCAGAACTATAATGTGAATACTTAGTGATTTCCCATTAAAATGCTCACAATATTGCCCTTGTCTGATAAGAGGTATGAGCAAAAGCATTGTCATGGTGGAAAAGGACTCTTCGCTAAAGCTTTCCTGAGTATTTTTTCTTTCTTTCTTTTTTTTTTTTAATTTGCCAGAGAGTGTGTATACTCTCTGGAGAGAGAAACGAAGAGAGAAGGAAAGTAGAAAGCACCCCCATGGGACACAGTTATGTCACAATCACTTCTCCATTTCTTTTTTCTTTTTTCTTTTTTTTTTTTTGAGGTTTTTGCTATAAGGCGCGTGTGCTCGCCAGACAGAGACAGAAAGTGAGAAATCACCCCCCAGGGGGGAATGGCCACACCGTGATCCCTTCTCCTACATTCTCCTCTCAGGATCTTGGGCATGCACGCACACGCACCGGGCGAGTTTAAACCACCGGGTCTGGGACTTGAACCACGTTCGACTACATGGGAGTCCAGCGACATAGCCATTATGCTAACTGCTGGTCCCTCCAAATGGGTCTTGATGTTAGATGTACAAGGAGTTCTAGCCACTTTGGATAATGGTATGCCCATGCCTGGAATATTTAGGGAAGCCTCTGGGAACCAACTGAGAACCTTCCCATGTAAATCAGCCTTCAGGGGTGCTGTTCACGCCGCAATCCCTTCTCCTCCATTCTCCTCTCGGGATCTTAGGCACGCACGCACACACGCCCAGTATGAGTTTAAGCCACCGGGTCCGGGACTCGAACTGTGGTCGACTACATGGGAGTCCAGCGACATAGCCGTTATGCTAACTGCTGGTCCTGCACTTCTCCATTTCTTTTTCCCTTTGGGCTTTTGGGCATGTACGCATACCCAACTGGCATGTTTTTCAAGTCACTGGATCTGGGACTTGAAATTGTCAGCCATGTGAAATATTGCTCAATTATAAGAAACAATGAGATCCTATTGTTGGATGCAAAGTGGATGAATTCTATATAAGACTTAATGTTGAGCAAAGTACGCCAGACTTGGAAAGATACACATCATATAACTCCACTGAGTTTGTACTAAATATCTGCACTCTATGGCAGAAATGGAGAGATCCGAAGATCTGATAGCAGAGAGGGTAAGTGTAGTGCCGCAACTGTAAGGCCGGAGAGTGGAGGGTAGAGAGTGGGTTGTAGAGGGTGGGTTTCAGGTGCATAGTGAAAAAAAAATTTTTTTTAATTTAATTAAATTTATTATTATTGGTTTTTAAAATTTGCTAAAGGACATGTGCACTCACCAGACACATACATACAGAGAGAGGGAAAGTGAGAAACCAAGCCACCTTGGTTTTTCTGATTACAGTTTTTCTTAGTAGTGCAGTCCAAAGGGATGCTACAGCTTCAACTTCACTTCAATAAAAGAAGTAAAATTACACTTGCATGCCATTTTCATCTGTCATATGGCAAAGATGGTAGAGTTTTATAGCATACCATGTAGGTAATTCTGTTATCAAGCTGTATTACCTCTGTTTAAAATGCTGGAGCTGAACCTAAGTTTACAAGAAGCACAGAGATTGAGAAACAAATAAAACACCGTGAGGAAAAAAGGACAAATCTAGAAAGTGTGATATTCTATATAACTACTGATATGATGTCTTCAACAAATCAATGTCATGGAGAAAAAGTATGTGGAAAAGAGGGACTGTTCTACATGAAAAGAAATGTAAGAAACATGACAACCAAATGCAACGTGTTGTTTTAGGTTGGATTCTGGTTTGAACAAGCCAGCTACAAAATAAATTTGGGGATAACTGGGAAATGTTAAATATAAACTGGACAGGGTTGGCAGGTGGTGTAGTGTTTAGGGCACTGGATTCCCACATGGCTGACCGTGGTTCATGTCTCAGACCCGGCAGCTTAAAACTCACACCAGTCATGAGTGCTTGCATGCCCAGAAGTTCAAGAGAGGAGTGGAGGAGAAGGGATTGTGGCGTGGCCATCACCCCTGGAAGGTAATTTTTCACTTTCTCTCTGTCTCTGTTTCTCCAGTAAGTGCACCAGAGAACAAAAATCTCTCTTAAAAGAAAGAAAGAAAACATAAATAAATAATAAAATAAAGTCATGATAGTTCCATTTGATTATGTGAAAAATCTTGAAGCACCAATAAAAAATATAGATGGGATATTAAATGAATTAAGGAGTTTTTTGATGCTATTATTGTTCAGTTATTAAATATGACAAAGGTACTATAGTTTTGTAGGAAAATGTCATATTTTCTATCTGTATACTTCAGTATTTAGGGATAAAGTGTCTTGAGGTCTGTAACTTACTTGAAAATATTTCATCAAACAAAGTCATATGTAAGGAAGCAAATATGGCAACACACTCACAGTTCCTAAATCTAGGTGATGTTAATATGGCTGTTGATTATAGTATTCTACTTTTCTGTGTATTTGACATTTTCCTAAGTGTTAAGCACAGGAATGAGGTAATGAAAAACCTCTCACACACCTTGCATACTCTGGTGATCACCCAAGCTCTGCCAAACCCTATGCTAGGTGATATGGAAAGATCTAGAATAGTGTTTTTCAAACTTAAGATTGTGACTTTTTAATCATCCCTAAAATCAATTGAGGGGATCCTGACCAGTAATTTATTTTACATGAAATAGAGGAGGAAATACCTAAAGGTTTTGAGCAAGTAAGGACTAATATCCTATAATCATATATTACAGTTACTTTTATACATATCTATGTACATGACAATGTAAAATCCATTTCTTTTTCTTTTTTTTGGAGAGGTTTTCACTATAGGGTGCGTGTGCTCGCCAGACAGACAGAAAGAGAAAGAGAGAGAAAAAGCAAGAAATCACCCCCCAGGGGGATGGCCACACTGCAATCCCTTCTCCTCCATTCTCCTCTCGGGATCTTAGGTACACACACATATGCACCGGCATGAGTTTAAGACACCTGGTCCAAGACTCAAACCACAGTCGACTACGTGAGAGTTCAGCGACATAGCCATTACGCTAACTGCTGGTCCCTAAAATCCACTTCTTATAGCTTGCAGGCAAAATGTTTAAAAGTCACTGAGGTATTTTCCACCAGAAATCACTAATGTTGATGCCTTTTTTGGTTTCAAGTTTGCTTTTCATAGATTAAATTTCTTTGACAATGTCTTGTTTGTGGCATCTTGATTATAGGTGAGTTAGAAATGTCCTTTTCTTTGTTTTTATTTTTTATTTTATTTTATTTTTTTTAGTAACCATGAGTGAAGTTTTACCAAAGGAAAAGAAACAGAAAGATGAGAAGACCTTAATTCTCGGTCAGGCTGTTGTGGACCTTCTTCCTTTACTAGAAGGTCAGATATGTGATTTGCCCAAAAACAGAAATAGCATATCTCGTAAAATATACCTCCAGAGAAGTGCAAAAACTAGCCCCAGTGAATTCAAGGGATGGGGTGGGGGAATGAACATATTTGCCTTTGCCTATATAGGTAGTAACTTTATCCTTTCTCGTTTGGGTCAACTTGGCCTTCTTTTTGTAGGGGAGAGTTCATTTGAAACGATGGTTCCATTACACCCTGTGCAGGGCTCAACCTTAGAAACTCCTCGAGCTGGCGCTAAGGTAATCAGAGTTTTAACTCAATATTTTGGCCTGCCATTCATTGTAACAGATCTGTCTGTTCTTAAGGTTCATTTCAGTCTATTGGACATCTTCTTTTTATAGCACACACAGTGCTAGGTTCTAGAAAACAAGAAGAATAAGGCAGAGTCTGGCAGAAGGGCCCCCAATCTACGTGTCATGGATTATAATCCTTTGTGATTAAATGGTGGTGGAGGGGTGCATGTAGACACAGAGCGGGTACCAGTTACTTGGCTCAGGGGTAGATGTAAGAAAAGCTTAACCATGGAAATGCCTCTTGCATAATATCCATCCTGGATCAAATAGTAAATGAAATCACCTACTTTTGGGCATGATAGCCTACCTCTAGCTGAAGACTTCTAACTCAGCAGTTTCACCCAAGGCCCCTCTCCTGAATTCCCAAATGTTAGATTTTATACCTACCTACTGAATTTCTCTATAATAATATCCCATAGTCACCTAAAACTCAATATTCTAGAACTGAACTCAGTACCTTCCCTCAAACCTACTCTTCCTTTTATCTTAGTTATTTAGACTACTGGCATCATTCATCCCTGAGATCAAAGCACATAGAACCTATGTTATATTTCTGACCGCTCCCTCAGAAGCTGACTGCATCCAGTCCCCAGATCTAGCTTTCACCAATTCCAGCATTTCCTATCTCCTAAATGTCTTTGGGGTTTCTTCTTAACGTCATTCCTACTCTTTATTGCCTTATCATCTCTCACCTGAAAGGTTATAAATAGCTCTGTACCTGTCCCTGCCTCCCTCTCTCCAGTTCAGCCTTCCTGCCGCTTGTGCACTGTCTTAAAAGTGAATCTCATCACATCTGTTCTCAGTGCCATGTAGTTCACAGATCTGCCCGCATGTTAAGGTCCAGGTTTCTTGGCAGGCATACATTATAAATGGAAGCCACCCACTTTTTCAACCTTATCTTTTTTTTTTTTTGAGAGATTTTCACTGTAGGGCGCGTGCGCTCACCAGACAGTCAGAGAGAGACATAGAGACAGAAAGCGAGAAATCACCCCCCAGGGGGGATGGTCACGCCACAATCCCTTCTCCTCCATTCTCCTCTCGGGATCTTGGGCACGCACGCACACGCTCCCGGCGTGAGTTTTAAGCCACCGGGTCCGGGACACGAACCGCGGTCGACTACGTGGGAATCCAGCGACATAGCCATTACGCTAACTGCTGGTTCCCTCAACCTTATCTTTTAACACTCTTCTGCTTGTATTGTATGTTCTAAAATCCTGAACTGCTTGGTTACACCTGAGCTGAATACACCATACTATTTCAATCCCCCTTTACATAAATAGCCCTTTTTACCCAGAATTATTTTCTCTGTTCTTATCAAAGTTGCAAATTCCTGTGGTTTTTATTTTTAATTTATTTTATTAATTTCTTCCACAAGAGAGGGAAACAGAGTCATAAATAGACAGAGAGAGGGGGCCTGCATGTAGCATGGTGGTTAGGGCACTGGACTTTCACATGGCCAACTGTGGTTCAAGTGTTGGACCTGGCAGCTTAAAGACCACAACGGGCATGTGTGCAAGCATGGCCAAAATCCTTAGAAAACACGAGAAAGGACTGTGATGTGGCCATCCTCTCTTGGGGGGGGGGTGGTTTTTCACTTTCTCTCTCTGTCTCTGTCTCTCTCCGAGCACATGTGCCCTAAAGAAAAAAGAGAGACAGAGAGAGAAAAGCACCCACAGTGTCATCAAGCTCTGATCTTATCCCTAGTCTCAGCCAGACCAGATCACTATCATGCATGTGCACACAGTGTGCACAGCGCTGCCTCAGGACGTGAATCCAGACCTTCCCGTGTGGCCTCAGCATCACAGAGCATTGCATTGCTACTGCACCATCATGACGAGCACATGCTCCTGTTCATCCCCAAAAAGTCAACTCAGATGGCACCATCTCTTACTCCTCCCAGCCCAACAATTAATCATTCACTTCTTCCCTAGAGCTCCTTAACTGGATTTGGTACATGTCTCTATTGCAGTATTTAGTACAAGTCACAGGACTATGACATGAATTTGATGGTGGAAAGGACCGTATCTTCCTCATCTTTATATCCGTAATACTGTAGTAAATTGCCCAGCCTATCGTTAGCAGTCATGACACACTTTTAACCTACTTTGTGTTGTATCCTGTGTGAAAAATGTCATAAATCTGGACATATATGTCAGACACTTAGGCATATATAGATCCATATCTCTATACATGGATAGATACATACATATTTTTAAAAAATATTTTTATCACAAAGCAGTATATTTAAATTACAAAAACTAATCATAAAATATAGGCCGTTAAAAAGGCCCCACAACCTCATTTACTCATGTGTGCCTACTATGGACATTTCAGCATCGAATCTTCCGGTTTGTCTCCTATATGTATTTGTGTAGACATTTCACCTCAGTGTGATAGAGTGGGGAGGGCTCTAGATTAGGGATAAGTTTCTCTTCTCCGCTCACTCTCCAACTCATGGGATCTAGAAAAAGGTTTTCAGAGCAGTATACCACAACAGAGTAAAATCACACACACACATATATATTTATATATACATACTCACACACAAGTAAAAAGAAAATTAAAGGTGTGCAACATAATATAATTTTCTTTGTTGAAGATGGTAAAAATGGTAGTGTCCTTGATTTGGTTATTATATACCGTGTAGGTGCTTTAAAAAACCATATTGTATTCCACAAAGATACACAATTAAGGAGCCTCCAGGTGGCATGATGGTTAAGGTCACTGGACTCCCACATGGCCAATCAAGGTTCGAGTCTTAGACCTAGTAGCTTGCTTTCTCATTTTCTCTCTCTCTTTCTCTCTCATTGTCTCTTTCTCTCTATCCCTCTCTGGTCAAATTAAAAAGAAATAAAATTCAATAAAAAAGAATTGTTTTATTGAAATTTATTTATTTATTTCAGTTTGACCAGAGAGAGAGCGAGAAAGAGAGAGAAGGGAAGTGAGAAAGCAAGCCCCCAGGTCCAGAACTCAAACTGTCGTTGGCCATGTGGGAGTCCAACACCCTTAACCACCACACTACCTACCGGCCCCAATAAAAAAATAAAATCCTTAAAAAAAAGATATACAATTAAATATAAATAATAAATTATAAAATAAATTTATAAAGAGTTATTTTAGTCCTCTGTATAGAAACAATTAAGCTTAGCCTTCTTATCTTGAATGGCGATGTGAGATTCAAATGAGATAATGAAAAAAAGAGGGCCTCTGATAATTTTCAAAAATGCTGCATAATTTAATTCTTTTACAGCAGTGCAGTCTTGAAGTTAAAGTATTTGTGGCAGAGCCCTTGCTGACTACAGCTCAGATCTTAGGGAGCAATCTACTGAAGGTCACGTTGGAGGCTGCCTATTCTGTGCCTGAATCCTTCATTCCCATAGGACCTCTGCAGAACTACATGGTTGGTCTGCAAGTTCCATCACATGGAGAGGTAAAGCCCTGCTGCCAGAAATTTTGATACATTCAAACATGTCTGTATTCACATGGTCTTCTCTTTGTTACTTGCTAAGATTCCATTCAAAGCATCCCTCTGCTAATGGTTAAGATTTATTTTAGGCTTAAAAAATAAAGTTTATTAGGCCAGCAGGTGGTGTGGTGGTGAAGGCTCTGGATTCTTACATGATTGACCTTGGCTTGAGTCCTGGTCCTCGCAGGCTTGAAAATCACACTGGGCACATATGCATGTGCCAAAAATCCCAAGAGGAGAATGGAAGAGAAGGGATTGCAGCATGGCCATCTCCTCTGAGGAGTGATTTCTCACTTTCCTTCTCTCTGTCACTCTCCAGTGAGTGCACGTGCCCTGTAGCAAAAACTAAAAAAAATTTTTTTTAGTTTTAGTTTTTGCTATTTTTCAATAGTGTGCATTTGCTCGCCAGCAAGAGACAGAGAGAGGGAAAGTAAGAAATCACTGCCCAGCCGGGTGGCCATGCTACAATCCCTCCTTCCACAGAATTTTAGGCATACATGCACATGTGTCTGGAATGATTTTCAAACAGCTGGGTCTGGGACTCAAACCTTGCAGCCAGTCTTGTGGGATCTAGCACCTTAACCACCATGTCTCCTGCTGGCCCCTTAAAAAATAACTTTTAGGCCAGCAGTTGGCATAATGGCTATGTCGCTGGACTCCCATGTAGTGAACCGTGGTTCAAGTCCCAGACCCAGTGGCTTAAACTGACACATGGCATGTGTTCTGCATGCCCAAGATCCAGAGAAGAGAATGGAGGAGAAGGGATTACGGCATGGCCATTCCCTCAGGGGGGGGGGAGATTTCTTGCTTTCTGTCTCTCTGTCTCTGTCTTTCTGGTGAGCACATGTGCTCTATAGCAAAAACTTGTCCCCCAAAAAACTTTTAAATTATATTTTTCTCAAGCTTTAAGAACCTATTTCTAGGCACCAGCAGTTGGTGTAATGGCTATGTCGCTGGACTCCCATGTAGTTAACTGTGGTTCAAGTCCCGGATCCGGTGGCTTAAACTCACGCTGGACATGTGTGCGTGCATGCCCAAAGTCCCGAGAGGAGAATAGAGGAGAAGGGATTACAACATGGCCAGCCCCCCGGGGGGTGATTTCTCACTTTCTGTCTCTCGGTCTCTCTCTGTCTTTCTGACGAGCACACAGGCCCCATAGCAAAAACTTCTCCCCCCCAAAAAAATTATATTTTCTCTAATAAATATAGATTTCTGTTCTTGATCTCAGGATCTTCCATTAAATATTAATTATCCTTTTAGTTTGAATCCAATTTCAACAGCTTTATTTCTTCTTTCTTTCTGCTTCAGTAAAATGAAATTGTATATCTCTGCTTTCAAATCTTTTGAGTATGTACACAGAAGTGAAATTGCTGAATTATATAATTTAATTTTTAATTTTTTTTTTTTAGATTTTTGTTATAGGGCTTGTGTTTTTCCCCAGAGAAACAGAGAGAAAGAAATCACTCCCTGAGGGGGATGGCCATGCTGCAGTTCTCTTCTCTTCCATTCTCCTCTTGGGATTTTGGGCATGCATGCACACACACACCTGGTGTGAGCTTTTTGTTTTTTAAAGCTTTTTTTTGTTGTTGCTAAAGAATTATTTTATTTAACTTTATTTTATTTATATATATATT